TTTTTTTTTCTTTTGTTCTTCGGTTACTGACAAGAAAAGGCTGAGGTGGTTGTGAAGACACGGTCTCGATGACGAACGGACGAGGAGCGCGAGCATGGACTCTGGCTGGTTCGACTGTAGGACGACGCGTAGGATTACACGGCATAGCTTAGACCCGAGAGGCCCAAGCACGAGCAATGAGGACGGTAGCGTGGGTGATGATTGCCATCGACCTTTGTCCATATGTTATCAAAGCAGACAGCTAGCTCGGCCCGTCTGTGCAGCTTTGGTCGGAAAGGTTGCCTCCCCCCACCAAAACGTGCACCGAACATGGCTCCTCGTCTTCGCAACTCCGCCCGCAAAGTCAATTTTGATGATGCCGACGTGGGCCCGAGGTGCCCGGAAAGCAGTGGGACTGATTGCTCACCCATGATGCCGAGCAGAGGTGCATGAGATTGTGCTGAGCAAGCGCCCGTCAACCAACAAAACAAAAAAATAGGGTCGAGGCCTAAACGGCAACGATATGAAACCGCCGAGTGTGCACATTGTCTCTGATGGCCCGCTCGCCTCCTCCGCTGGCCCACACAAGCTTTCAACATGCCTGACGCTCCCACCACCACCACCACCATCCTCGCCACCACGATCATCACCGACGAGCCCCATCGAATCTGCTAGCTGCCACACGCCCGCCCACGGCTGACGCCGCCATGATGCCCTCCACACAAGACCCTACCGCCGGTCCTTCTGCCACATCTCCCTCACCGCCGCGACAATTCCAAGCAGACGCCAACGAGGCAGCTAGACCTTCGCATGCCCCGCGCTCGGCCACGATGGAGACCATGGTGGATTCTCACACTGCGCAAGCTCCCGCGTACGTCGAGCACGAGCGACACGCCTCGGCTGCTGCCTCGGATGCTCACCCAACTGCGACAACTCAGCCCGTCGGGCACACTTCCAAGGCTCATCTCGTCGAACTGAGCCGGCCTCAATCTCACCCGCATCACGACAGCGAGCATGCATCGCTGCTTCCGCAGGCGAAAGGCCACACACCACGTCCATCCTCCCACACCACCCGAGCCCATCCCGAGCCGCCGCACGATCAGCACGACCACCACGACGATGCACCTCCCTCAAGTCATGACATGGTGCTGCTCAGCGCACACGCCGCCTCGCACGCGCCCAGCTACAGCGACCTCTTCTTCGACCTCCTCTTCGCCGCCTGCCTCAACACCTACTCCAACGCCGTCTCGCTCGAAAAGTTTGGCAACGTCGCCGCCTTCCTCGGCTACTTTGCCGCGCTCTGGTGGGCGTGGTGGAGCCAGTCGTACTTTGACGTTCGCTATCGACGTCCTTCCCACGCCCATCCCTTTCTCTTCAAAAGCGCCCAGCGCATCATCCGCGCCGCCGTCCTGGGTCTCTGGGTCGCCTTCTCCACCACGCCCTCCGAATTCTCCCGCGGCGGATTCACCAACTTCACCCTCATCTACGGCTGCTCCCGCATGGCTCTCGCGCTTGACCATGCTGTCGTGCTCGTCTACGACCTCTTCCGCTGGCGCAAGCATCCAGCCCACGCGCATGCACAGTCGGCCCAGCCCGAGATCGAGCCGGCGCATGCAGCCTTGCAGACCGCACCGCGACGCTGTGCCAAGGCGGCTGTCGTTCGCACGCATCTCTTCTCGATCGCCGCACTCATCGCGTCGGGTCTGCTCTGGATCCTCAGCCGCCTCGTGCCGCGCAACGGCGTCAACGCGCCTCTCCTCGTCATGTGGATCCTCGGCGTTACCCTCGAGGCGGCGGTCCAGCTCGGCAACGAGCTCAGCGGCGCACTCTCGCCGCTCGGCGACAGCGTCCTACCCGAGCGTCTTGTGCTCTTCGGCCTCATCATCCTCGGCGAAGGATTCACGGGGATCGCCGAGACGCTCAACCGCATCAGCCCCGGCGCCAAGGTGCGCAACGAGGCGTTAGGCGGTGCGGCCATCGAGAGTGGCGGCTGGGGCGCCGACACGATCCTGCAGGCCGTGTCGTGCGTGCTGATCGTCGTGCTCCAGTTCGGAGGCTACTTCCACCGCGCCGCCAACAGCATCGACGCCGCCTCGGTGTGGGTGGTGGTGTGGGCGTACCTCCACGTGGTGCTCCACATGTCGTCGGCGCTCCTCGTCATTGGTCTCAAAAAGATCCTCAGCTTCCAGAACACGCTCAACGCCATGACCAACTTTTTTGCGCAACCGACCATCTATCTGCCCAACACGCCGCAGTGGCAGAGCCTCTCCTCGGAGCAGGCGAGCGAGCCGTACAACGAGGGCGGGGGTAGCTCTTCGCTCTCCTCCAACGGAACGCTCGCCGGCATCTCGGCCATCATCTCGGTGATTCAGAGCAACGACGGTGCCAACATCCCGACGCTTAGCGCTGCGCAGCGACTCGTCGCATCCGTGGTTGGGCTTGCGGGCGGAGAGGCGCAGGCGCAGAGTCTGGTGGAACAGGCCAACGAGACCGACTCGAGCAACGCACTCTCGTCGCAGTTTGCTCCCAGCCTCGTGCTCCCCTTCAAGAGCTACTTTGAATTCGCTGACAACGTGGTCAACCCGGACTCGATCGAACAGTACATTGTCAAGTCGCTCTTCCAGTTCAAGTACATCTACGTCGCCAGTGCCGTCTACCTGACGGTGGATATTGTGATCAAGCTCATGCAGGATAGGCGCGATCGCACGCTGCGCTCCTTTCGGTGGGCTATGGCCACGCGCTTTGCATTTGCCGTGCTGCTCGTGCTGCTCCAGGTGGTCTTCACCGTGTACGAGGGCGCACCCTCGCTTGCAGCGCTCGACGGCGCACTCGCCATCTGTGCGGCCGTGCTGCTCGCCGAACTCATCGCACAGCAAATCATCGACGCCCTCCGCCCAAGGCTCGACCGTCCACGCACCAAACCATCCAGCCGCTCCACTTGCAGCCGCTCCGACACGTCAAGCCAAGACCACCAACACTTTGAGATGCACGAGCGCCCTCCGCGCTGATCGGATCCTGCGCTAGCTTCCTTTGCTACGGGTACAATATGCTGCATTTTACGGGGTGTTTAGCATGCGTGGGTGTGTGTTTGAAACGCGGATCTCGAGTGAGCCTCGTCGCCCGTTGACCGTCGAGACGCTGTTGCTGCGCTCTCTAGGCGGTGGCGGTGGGAGCGGCGGGAGCGGCGTCGGCAGCATCGGCAGCCGCGTCTGCGTTGTGCCTGTCCGACTGCACGGCCACCTGGAGCGACACCTGGCGGCCGTCGATCTGGATGTTCTGCGCGTTGGCCATGGCGCGCTGCTGCTCGGCGGCGTCCTCAAAGTCGACAAAGCCAAAGCCCTTGGAGCGGTTGCCGCCGCGGCGCTTGACCACGTGCGCCGACTTGACCTTGTACTCGCCAAAGGCAGCCTTGAGCGACTCGTCGGTGGTGGAGAAGGCCACGTTGGCGACAAACACGAGCGTCGGCGACAGCTCACCGGTGGGCGCGCCCTTGGGGCCACGCTTGGGCTTGGGAGCGCGCGTCTTGGCCTCGCTCGACTCGGCGTTGGCATCGGTCTGGGCCGACTCGCCGTTGGCACCCGCCGCCGTTGCCGCCGCCGCCGCCGCCTTCTTCTTCTGCCTGCGCTTGGCCGACTTGGACGGCTTGCCGTCGGCATCGACCGCCTCGCCGTTCACACCGGCCTGCTTGGCAGCGTCCTCCTCGGCAGCACCCTCCTCGCCCTCGTCGGCACGTGCACGGCGGGGAGCGCGCGTCGAGTCCTTGGCCTTGGCCTTGGAGCGCGTCTTGCGCGCCTTGGCCTTGTCGGCGTCGGCCGCCGACTGCGGCTTGGCCGACTCGACGCTGATCTCGCGACCGGCGACGTCGCGCTTGTTGAGCAGCTGGATGGCAGTCTGCGCGTCTGTCTCGGTGGCGAACGTGACGAAACCGTAGCCGAGCGAACGAGTGCCGCGTGTGATGATCTGAGCTTGTGTGCTGGATGCGATGGCATTGTCATAAAGGGGTCAGCGAAATGCAGATTCGATCCGAGAGCATGATTCTGGGGGTATGAGCACTTACACCTTTCCGGCCTCGGAGAAGAGCGACTTGAGGTCGTCCTCGGTTGTGGCAAAGGCAAGGTTACCTGCAAACACCTTCTTGGCGTCGTCCTCGGCCTTGGCAGGCTGGACGTTGTTGGCGACGGGGTCGACGATGCTCTGGTTGGGGTCGGTCATTGTGGGTGTCGAGGATGCGATGGTTGGGTGCGGGTGGTGGTGTCAGATGGTGGAGATGGCTGGCTCTGGCTTTCCAGGGTTCAATCGCGGTGGCGGCACTGAATCCATCATTCGAGATGGGCGATGCGGGCACCGACTGCTGCGCGCTCTCGTCTGAGCCAAGCGAGGCAGGCGGACCCACAGAGTCTGCTGGTCGAGAGCAGCCCCGCTGCGAATGCGAAATTAGGCTCAGCTCAGACGATCTCTCTCTCTCTCCCTCTCTCTCTCTCTT